CACAGATAAGGCGTCGGAAAAAGAAGACGCGAGACGAGATGTTCGCAGAGATCATGGAATCCACCCGCAGTGACAGAGCTCATCTGAATGAATGGAAAGACACGGTTTCAAAGTATAGGAAAGAAGCCAGTGAATGTGAGGACAGGAGGGACCAACATGAGGACAGGAAGGACCAACGTGAGGAGAGGAGAGACGCTCGAGATGAGAGGTGGCGGCAGGAAGATCAGAGGAGGCAGGATGCAACACTGGGGCTGCTGCGTGAGCAAACAGACATGCTCCGGAACGGCAGCAGGATAACAGAGTGCCGCTACAGCCCCTGTATAACCCCCCATCCCCCCTCACCATGTTCCATAGCCTCCTCACCCAGATGTGTAAGAATGGCGGGGGGGGGGGGAGAGGCTCTGTACACCTTCCCATTCCACCCCAGTGGACAGCCCAAGCAAAAGGCTGTCATTTTTTTAACCTTTTTTTAGTGGCCTTTTCCTTTCCGCCGATCCTCCTCCCAAACCCCACCCGCGTTCCCTCCCTCTTTTTATAATCTATTAATAAAGACTAAATGATTTTTAAAAGATAGTGACTTTATTTGGTTTGAAAGCAAGCTGGGGGAAGGGGGAGGGTGGGTTCCTACAGAGAATGAGTCAATAAAGGGGGCGGGTTTTCATGAAGGAGAAACAAACAGATATTTCACACTGTAGCCTGGCCAGTCATGAAACTGGTTTTCAAAGCTTCTCTGATGCACAGCGCTTCCTGGTGTGCTCTTCTAATCGCCCTGGTGTCTGGCTGCGTGTAATCAGCAGCCAGGCGATTTGCCTCAGCCTCCCACCCCACCATAAAGGTCTCGCCCTTACTTTCACAGAGATTGTGGAGCACACAGCAAGCAGAAATAACAATGAGGAGATTGGTTTGGCTGAGGTCTGAGCGAGTCAGTAACGATCGCCAGCGACCTTTTAAATGGCCAAATGCACATTCTACCACCATTATGCACTTGCTCAGCCTGTAGTTGAACAGCTCCTGACTCCTGTCTAGGCTGCCTGTGTATGGCTTCATGAGCCATGGCATTAAGGGGTAGGCTGGGTCCCCAAGAATAACTATTGGCATTTCAACACCCCCAACGGTTATTTTCTGGTCCGAAAAGTCAGTCCCTTGCTGCAGCCCAACACGTTGATGTTGGTGAAACGTCCCTTGTGATCCACAAGTGCTTGCAGCACCATTGAAAAGTACCCCTTGTGGTTTATGTACTGGGTACCCTGGTGCTCCGGTGCCAAGATAGGGATATGGGTTCCATCTATCGCCCCATCACAGTTAGGGAATCCCATTGCAGCAAAGCCATCCACTGTGACCTGCACATTTCCCAGAATCACTACCTTTCATAGCAGCACCTGAGTGATTGCTTTGGCTACTTGCATCACAGCAGCCCCCACAGTAGATTTGCCCACTCCAAATTGATTCCCGACTGACCGGTAGCTGTCTGGCGTTGCAAGCTTCCACAGGGCTGTCGCCAATCGCTTCTCAACTGTGAGGGCTGCTCTCATCTTGGTATTCTGGCATTTCAGGGCAGGGGACAGCAAGTCACAAAGTTCCATGAAAGTGCCCTTACGCATGCGAAAGTTCCGCAGCCACTGGGAATCATCCCACACCTGCAATACTATACGGTCCCACCAGTCTGTGTTTGTTTCCCTTGCTTTGTTCATGACTGCTGTCTTGAGCTGAGCGGGCTCCATGCTTGCCGTGGTATGGAGTCTGCAGTGTTCACCCAGAAAAAAAGGCGCGAAATGGTTGTCTGCCATCCGTTGCTTTCATGCAGGGAGGGAGGGAGGGGTGAGACTGTACCCAGAAACACCTGCGACAATGTTTTTTGTCCCATCAGGCACTGGGATCTCAACCCAGAATTCCAATGGGCGGGGGAGACTGCGGGAACTATGGGATAGCTACCCACAGTGCAACGCTCCAGAAATCGACGCTAGCCCCGGAACATGGACGCACATTGTCGAATTAATGTGCTTAGTGTGGCCGCATACATTTGACTTTATACAATCTGTTTCCCAAATTTGAATTATATAAATTCGGATTAATCCTGTAGTGTAGACATACCCCTAGCTCCACGTAGTCCTCCTTACCTCTGCTCCCACAGTGTTCGGTTTAGCCATTGAAATGATGAAGTTATACAAGCCGCAGTTTCTGCTGATTGGGAATCCTGCAGCTTCTTTTGATTTCAAGGCAGAAGTGCAAGTAGGGTTTACTCTACAGTACACAGTGCCGGCAAGAGATTTTTAGCGGGTATGGGGTACCGGAAAGACTTGGGGAGGCTAGGCCCCCCTGCCCTCTGGAGTGGGGGTGGAGCTGCAATCTGCTCCTTAATGGAGCAGCATTGCGGCATGGGAAGGCATACGTTCTTTATATGGGTTTAACAGCACAATACATATGCTAACAAACTTAAACAAAGCCTTTGTTTAAGTTTGTTAGCAGGTGTATTGTGCTGTTACACAGGAGTCCTCAAGAGGGAAGGGGTGGGGGGGATGGAAGGTGTTTAGACAGTGTTTTTGATTCCTGCTCCAACCTCCGGACTATGAACATATACTGATGGAAGCATTCTAACCAAGGGACAGAGGACTTGAAGGTAATCTGGAGCCTTCATATTTCCTTGATTCTTTGCAGATGGATTTATGAGTTGTAGATGGTACAAAGACTGTTCTAGCCTCACTGATTTCTGATTTTTCTTTTGCAATGGACAAAGATCAGATGTCTGCTCTCAGAAACCTAGGAGGGGAAGTTAACATAGTGGTTAAATTCATCCTTGGTGTAACTCCACTGATTTTAATTGGCTTACACCACCAGGGCCCGCATTCAAATGGCTCAACCTCTTCTCTCAGGTCTGTTCCTATGGACAAATGCCGTGGATGAAGCCTTCATTTTCTACCCATACACCGAGCAAGCAAGCTGTGAAGTGTTAGTTTTACTATGTACACGCGTTTATTATTCTAGCACCTAGGAGCCCTACCCAGGGGCCAGCAGGGCACGTGACCCGCACTGGGCTAGGTGCAGGCTGCAGCGATAGCAATGCTGGTGTCTAGCCACCCCTAGCGTGGGCCGAAATGGCTCTTTTCTGCAGCCTCCAGCATGAGTTTATAAATTGCAAATTATTTCCCCGGAGCCAGGACGAGGAAAAAGCCCCATAGCCGTGTCCTTTCATTCCCTTCCCCGGACAGAAAAGGCCTCACCCTACTCCCCTGGAACTCAGTGGCGACCGACCGCCCCCCAGGGGCGCCTGTCCATAAATAGCCACCCTCTCTCCGCTGGCGGGAAGCGTCGCAACTTGCGGACAGGGGGCAGCAGCCACGCACCTCGCCCCATCAGGCAGGCACCCGCCCGCCCGCGCCTCTCTCCTCCAGAGCCGGAGCCGCAAACAGAGAGATTACTCGCAACGCCCGCGCGCAGCTCCGGCTCCTCCCCTCGACCTGCACAAGAGGGTGGAACGGGGCGGGCTGCAGAAAGACGGGACGCGCCGCGGCTTTTGATTGGCTGGCCGTCCGGCCGGGGCGCCTGGGTCGCCTCTCTCGCGCCACTTTCGGGCGCGTTGGCGCGAGCGGAGCGAGCGTGGTCGGGGCCATGGCGGAGAGCGAGAGCCGGCGCGGCGGTGAGAGGCGGGCGGGGCTGTGCGGCCGCTGCACGGGGCGTGGGGGGCTCGCGCAGCCCGGGGGCGGGTAGCGGCTGGACACGGGTGCAGCGGTAGGGGGCAGGCTCTGCATGGGGGGCGCCGGGGGTGTTGTATTTGGGCTCCCCTTGAGCGTGTCTCCGATTTCCTGGGCGGGGGTGGTAGTGTTGCAGGATCTGGGCGGGGCAGTTGGGAGTGGCCGGTTTTGGGGTGCTTTTCGGGGGGGGGCACTTCATTGGTGTCCCCAAGATTCTCCTTGGAAGGTGACAGGGAGAGTGTGTTGAAATCGAGTCTGTCTTAAAAAAATAAACACACCGGCGTGTTAAAAGAATCTGGTGCTGACACTGGTCCCTGTGTCATCCTGCTGAATTTGTGGTTTTGCATCACTTTGGTTTTTTTTTTTTTTTTGTTAGAATGTTTTTTCTTCTTTCCGGGCTGGGTTTAAGCTCATACATAGAGGTAAATGTCTGTACCTGAAATGCTGTAAAATGCATGGAGTAAACATAGGGAAGCGAGAACTATAACCCTTTTTAATTTAAAACCCCCTCGCTGTTTCATGAAAACATAGTGTAGATGACAATCATGCCTAGCAGAAGTGTACTCTCCCTCTCCCCTCCAGCCCACAAGATGTCATTGTTTTTAGGACAGTTTTCTATACTTGATAGGTGCTGACTTTCCTCATATCATCCCTGTTTTGAGCCATAACATTACTGTTTTGAGCCCTGAATTCCTTCACCCTCTAAATCTAGTAAAATCAAAATCAGGGTACAGAGAAATTGTATTCAGTTTGCTTAGAGTGAAAATACCTCAGAGCATGCAAACAAAGTTTAATTCTGTGTATTTGACATAATTTTTTTTTAAACTGCTGTTGTGGCTTAACAATAACTAGAAACCACTATTATTTATATTATAGCACTTGAGATCCCTAATCATAGACCAGGACTCGATTGTTCCAGGTGCAGTACAAACATGGAACAAAAAGATGGTCCCTGCCTCTAAAGAGCTTACAGTCTAGTATCCGATAAGGGACAACATGTGGATACAGACAAACTGGGGGTACCAAGAGACCGTGATAATATTGGTTAGCATGATAGGCAATGAGTTCAGCATAGTAGCAACCTAACCATTAACAAGTTTTTATTTTGGTAGGTATCGCAGCAAAGGAGAGTTTTAAGCAGGATAATATGTTAGTTTTGCAAATGTTTATGGGTAGCTTCTCCTAAGCATGAGGAGCAGCATAGAAGGAAGCATGACGGCACTTGATCGAAAATTTAACAAGTGGGCAATGGAGGCTGACATCATGGGTAGATTGGAGGCGGGAGTCAACATCTTGTTAGTGAAGGAAAGATGATAGGTAGGGTTGGGACAAATAACTTATGTTCGGTGCAATAGAGCAGTGGTCCCCAACGCGGTACCTGCGGGCGCCATGGCATCTATGTGCACCCGCCTACTGGCCGCCAGACAAGCAGCTGCTGAAATGCCGCTGAGAAGCGGTGCTGCCAAAATGCCACTGATTTTCGGCCGCATTTTGGCGGCGATGCTTCTTGGCATTGCCGCTTCTCGGCCACATTTCGGCGGCGATGCTTCTTGGCATTGCTGCTTCTTGGCCGCACTTCGGCAGCTGCTTGTCCGGTTGCCATGCTCCTCGGCGGCTAGTTGTCCGGTGCCTGCCACATGGAAAGATTGGGGACCACTGCAATGGAGAAAGAGGAGCCAGTGGATGGGTGCAGCAAGGGTGGTGACATGGTCAAAGCAGGCTAGGAACATAATCTTTGCAGCAGCTGTCTGAATGGTTATATGTAGGGCCCTACCAATTGACTGTCCATTTTGGTCAGTTTCATGGTTGTAGGGTTTTAAAAATAGTCAATTTCATGGTTTCAGATGTTTATAGCTGAAATTTCAGGGTGTTGTAACCATGAGGATCTCAACCCAAAAAAGTGTTGGGGTGGGGGGGGTTCGCAAGGCTATTATAGGGGGGGTTGTGGGTTTGCCACCCTTACTTCTGTGCTGCTGCTGTCGGATGCTGCCTTCAGAGCTGGAGAGCAATGGCCAAGCTTTGAAACCAGCACCACCGCCAGCAGCAGCGCAGAAGTGAGGGTGGCAGAATATTGTGGGCGTGGATTGCCATACATTCTGGTTTTCCTAGCAGCTTCCCATCTGGGTTTGGGGGCTGACAGCCACCCTCACTTCTGCACTGCCTTCAGAACTCTGCTCCTAGCCAGCAGCTGTGGGGGATGCATTTCCCCCCCCCCCATCCAGATCCTGCAGCACTGCCCCACCCCCTGCCAAAGAAATCCAAGACCTGCTCAAAGGGAGCCCAAATACAACACCCCCATATAGACCCTGCCCCCCCACAATTTTTGAGGTCTGTGCTGCTCTCCTCATTCTGCAGCTTCACAGAGCTTCACATGCTCTGGCCATGACTCCTCTGCTCCTGCTCATGGGCAGACAAATTATTCCAAAGCTGTAAAAATTTTTATCAATATAATAACAAATACTTCAGAGGCAACTGTCCAGCTATATTCAGTGGACCAAAAAAGGGGGTGGGGGGGTCACATAGTAAAGATCCTACTCAGCATCTGACATTCTGACTCATAGCCATTCAGGTTGGGTAGAACTGTGGGAGATGCTGTGAATTTGGTAGGGCCCTCGATATAAGCAGGCCAAGATCTTGCAAAGAACTTTGTGAAGGTGTACCTCTGCGTCTGCATGAGCCCCATTACAGTTAGTGGGGGTCAACCTCTGTTGATCTTTTTGTGGGAACTGGACCTCAATGATAGAGCTTTGCAAACAGTAACTTACAATGTGCTACTTTATTATCTAACTATTTTGGTTTAGAACAGGTCTTTACATTTTAATCAGTCGTGCTGGCTAAAAGAATAAATCTGTTAATCTGACATGAATATGGGGGCAGGTCTACATTAGAAACACTACTCTGGTGCAGCTGCGTTGCTGTAGCGTGTCTGATGAAGATGCTCTATGCTGACAGGAGAGCACTCTCCCGTCACCATAATCACTCCACCTCTGCTAGAGGCGGAAGGTATGTTGGTGGGACACCTATCTAGTGTCTGATCACCAGCCATTGGAGATATTCACTACTAGCAGTCACAGATCGGCTACATGCCATTGTAGGCAATCTCATTATACCATCCCCTCCATAAATTTATCAAGCTCGGTTTTGAAACTGGTTAGGTTTTTTGCCCCCACTGCTCCCCTTGGAAGGCTGTTCCAGAGCTTCACTCCTCTGCTGGTTAGAAACATTTGTCTAATTTCATATCTAGTTTATATCCCAGGGGTCTGCAACCTTTCAGAAGTGATGTGCCGTGTCTTCATTTATTCACTCTAATAATGTAAGGTTTCGTGTGCCAGTAATACATTTTAACCTTTTTAGAAGGTCTCTTTCTATAAGTCTATAATATATAACTAAACTATTGTTGTATGTAAAATAAATAAGGTTTTTAAAATGTTTAAGATGCTTCATTTAAAATTAAAATAAAACGCAGAGCCTCCTGGACCGGTGGCCAGGACCTGGGTAGCGTGAGTGCCACTGAAAATCAGCTCGCATTCTGCCTTCGGCACGCATGCCATAGGTTGCCTACCCCTGTTATATCCATTTGTTCTTGTGTCCACATTGGTGCTTAACTTAAATAACTCCTCTCCCTCCCTGGTACTTATCCCTCGGTTTTATTTATAGAGCGTAATCGTATCTCCTCTCAGTCTTCTTTTGTCTGCTAAACAAGCCAAACTCTTGGAGTCTTCTCTCCATAAGGTAGTTTTTCCTTATGGAGGAAAGTCATAAGGTAAGTTTTCCATTTCTCTGATCATCCTAGTAGCTTGTCTCTGCACCTGTTCCAGTTTGAATTCATCTTTCTTAAACATGGAAGACTAGAATTGCACAGAGTATTCAAGGTGAGGTCTCACCAGTGTCTTCTATAATGGTATTAACACTTCCCTGTCTCTACTGAAAATATCTTGCCTGATGCATTCTAGGACTGCTTGTCACTGAGAGACTAAATAAAAGCATTAAGACGAAAGTTAGAAGTCTAAAATAACCTTCCTTTCCAAATCATAGATAGTGACAGTTGATGCACCTCTAAAGGAGGTTGGGTGGCAGCTTAACAATTGTCACCCTTCCTTTCCTGAGTCTACTGTAGGTGCATTATTACCACAATCTACCTATTCTGCAGCTCAGCAGCTCCAACAATCCTTGATGTCTGGGCTACTTTCCTCACTCAGTAGCTTCACGGCGCCGGATCAGCATTTTGGCACCACTGCTTTGTTCGTGCCTCTTCTGCGCCCAATTGCGGCCAGATTCTCTGCCTCCGCAGCAGCATGTGGATGGCAGTTCTGTTGCACCCTCCTATCTTCTACCTTCAGTGTGGTATTTTTGAAGGGGGGGGGGCAGTGGTGAGCAGTGGTCTCCCACACTAGCCCTTTCCTCCTCTCTGGGTTGGTTTTTAGTCAGATGACTGAACCCACCTGGAACCTCACTGCTGGCTCCTCTGCACCTTCTTGGTATGGCTGAGCAGCCTAAAAAGCACTGAACAAAATGTAAACAGTGCTCCGTCTATGAGACAGCCTTCCTGGCCTTGGCAGATGGTGAGTTGTGCTCAGCCTTCGGTCCCTAACTCTGTTAGGTCCCAGGGCCATGAGTCGGGCAGGAGAGGTGGGATCCCCTGCCCACCAGAGCAGCTGCAACTCCACTGGGAGAAAAATAGACCAGGAGTTTGTGAGGAGAGCAGGGAGAGACTCCAAAGAGAAGGAGTACCCCATGTTGTTCATTGTTCAAAAGCATGCGGGAGGAATCTGAGCCATTCTAGACTTCAAATGATTCAACAAGTGGATGAAGAAAACAAAGTTTCAGATGGAGACCCTGACCTCTCTGGTGTCATGCCTGTCGAAGGAGGATTTTCTGACTTCAGTGGATCTGGCAGATGGATACTGTAGTGGTTCCTTGCTCTCCAGTGGGGAGGGAGGCCACTCTGCCTCACCTTATTGGACGGTAACCCTTGGGCTTGGGTCGCGCTGGCGGGGCCGAGCTGTAAGCCGCCTATAGTTCCATGGCCGTCTAATAGAGGCAAACAAGCAATAACAGTCTGGGGCACTTGTCCTCACCCTCGGTTGGGGCAGAGCACTGAGTAGTTTTTAGCACGTAGCCCCTCAGCTGGGCCGGGCAGTACTTAATAATCTAAAGCTTTGCCCCACCCTAAGGGTCAGAGCCGGGGCAGGCTGCATCCCCAGGCTCCTGGCTAAGGCAGCCAGTGAACACTCACAGTCTGGGGCTCTAGCTCTTTGGGCGGGGCCAAGCAGGGAGCAGGTTGTAGCCAACGTTCCCTCTAATTTTTTCATTCATGCGCGGAATGCATTTTGTTATGTGCAGCACCAATATCGAGGTAGTGTGTAGATGTGTGCCACCAGTAGAAACAAAAAACATATATATAATTTTTTTAAAATTAACATAGGTATGGCCAATGGTACATGTAAAAGGGACCGTAAAGATTTCCTGGAATCTGACATTTTAGGGCCAGATCCTCAGCTGGTGTACAGCAGCCATGAAGTCACTGGAACTACTTCAATTTACACTAGCTGAGGATTTGGCTGTTCAAGTGTATCATATTAGAACGACTTCCTTATCACTATTGCAAACGCATAGACTGAAGTCTTATACACATAACAGGCTTTTCTGAAGGGCAGAAAACAATGAAATCCTATAATGTGCAACCCATATTTCAGATTGCAGTTCCCTTTGTTCAGTATTTAATCTGGTGACTGGCAGTGCACAGCTGAACCTAAACTGAGATTTGTCACCCAAATGAAACGAAAATTCTATGGTGTCTTCTTTGGCTAAAGGTGTGGCATTTCATGGTCTTGTATAAATCTTGGTTTAGGATGTGGACTCAGACTCAATAAGGTATATATTTCTGGCAGATAAGCAGTATTTTATCCCCATAAATCATGTGTAAACAGAGGCATCGCAGAACAAAGAACAGAAACATTTAATTGCTGTAACACAAGATCTCCCTTTTAAAAAAGGGGGCTGGGGCCAAGGGAGAGAAGTACCTGTCCATGCCGCAGCCCGATCAGGGCTGGGGCCGAGGGAGAGCCGCGCTTTTCCTGCATGCCCCAAGCTCCCTCAAACCCCCATCACCGCCCCTCACCTCACCCCACCCCACTGCCCTCACCCACGCTCTCTACACATTCTCCATGCTCACCTGTGTGCGCGGCTGGTTCGCGACCCTTGATGGCTCTTGTGCGGCTGCACAGGCATGCACTTTAGAGGGAGCACAGGCTATAAGCTAAGCCTCCTGGCTAATGCAGCTAGCAAACGCTCAGTTCAGGGCTCAGGTAGGGATGAGCACCCACACAATCTAAGGGCTGGGGGGGAGGGGGCCGCACCAACCGAGTCTAGCGTCCTAGCTTGACGGACAGTAGACGTGCATAGGTCTCCGTGGTGGGGAGTCTGCAACCTCAGGGGTGGCGTGGCACGGGCTGGGGGACGCAGACCCGCCCGACTCCACCACATCCCAGCCCAGGGCGCTAGCAGTGTTGGAGTGGACCGCCACTGGTCAGCGGGGATCCAGCCGCAACACACTGACCTAGGAACAGTCAGCAATGTAGCCAGACAGTTGTTGGCTGCCCCAGACTACTTTCTACCTCCCCGGGGTGTGGTATTTCTGGAATCCACAGTCCTCTGGCTCCTCTGGGTACATGGTGGATGGCAGTCCTGGCAACTCTCCTTCTAGGTCTGTCTCCTCTGGGGGCAGGGTGCTGCAGAGTGTAGGTTGATCTGCCCGGTGCCACAGCAGAATAGAGGTGTCCGTCTCCTTTCCTGGCTGCTGCTCACCTGAGCTGCAGAACCCTCCCTTTATACTTCCTGTCCCATCCTGGCGCTTCTGGCGAGACGAGTGGGGTGAGTTCGGCTCTGCCCACCAGGGAGTGTAGAGGTCCCTCTCTCTCCAGTCCGGAGAGAGGCCACTCTGCCTCGTACGCATACCTCCGCAATCCTGTCAGACCTTGCCATCACAGGTTCCTAAGGTTTGCTTATGGCAGGAAGTAACATCAGTACTGGATGCTCTCATTCAGCTTGTCCTCTGCTCCTCGGGTGTTTACAAAGATGTTGGCAGTAATGATACCCTGCAACCTCAGTAGGGCTATCCACGTGTGCCCCTTCCTGGATGACACTTGTTCAGAACACTGTCCCCGGAAACAGCACATAGAGCCACATCGCTGACACCGAGTATCCTATAAGAACCCGCTTTATCAATGTCAAAAAAACCAACACATACTTAGGAGTGGACATAAATACCTTGATAGCAAGGATCTATCCATCATTAGAAAGGTTCAAGAAGATTCAGGACCTCTTCATGTTGTTTGGGAGCTGCAAGAGGCCTGCTATAGCATTGGGCCTTCAACTACTAGGCCTCCTCGTATTGAGCATAGGGATCACTTCCTGGGTGCAATCATGCATCAGGTGCCTTCAGGGCTTCATCATAAAGGTACAGGACCACCTTGGAACACATGAAGGATCACGTAGGGGTCTCAACACAGGTGTTCAACTCCTTAAAATGGTGGTCAGCCCAGGGCAATGTTTGCAAAGGTATGCCCCCTATGCTGCCCAGATCCTCAAGTTTTCATAACCAACGCCAGCCTGGAGAGCTGGGGTGCACACTTGGGAGCCCAGACAGTTCTAGGCCCACATCATAAACCTTCTAGAGCTAAAAGCAATCAAGCTGGTGCAGTGAAGGTTCCAGTCCAGCCTAAAGGGGAACCCTGTCCTGATTCAGTCGGACAACACGACTGCCATCACGTGTGGACAACCAAGGGGGAGCAAGGACCCCAGTGTTACACACAGAAGCAATGGAAATTATGTGATGGGTAGAGAACTGTCTCCTGTTCCTCAGAGCAATTCATGTAAAGGGAGACCCGAACCAAAAGTGGATTAGCTCAACAACTCTGAGTGGTGCCCGAATTAGGGAGTCTTTGAGTTAATTGTCCAAATGTTCAGCGTTCCCTCAACTGATATATTCATTAACCATATGAATGCGAAGAGACCAAAGTACTTCACCAGGGAGGTGGATCCCAGATCTGGGGGACAGATTGCCTGTTGCCCAGATGGCTGCAGGGTCTCCTCTGTGTGTTTCCACCCTTCCCATTACTAGGGAAGGTGGTTGAGAAAATAAAATGAGAACAGATAGCAGTCATATTGATAACTCCCCATTGACTGAGGAGACTCTGGTTTTCAGACTGAAAATAGGACCTCCACTACAACTCCCAAAGAGATGGTACATCTTCTCACAAGGTCATCTTCATCATCTGGACGTCAGTTGGCTGCATTTAACAGCCTGGCTATTGAAAGGGAAGTGCTGGTATCGCTGGGTTTGTCCTTCAAAGTCATCAAGACACTGCTTTCATCTAGAAGAGTATCGACATTGAAAATGCATTCTTCCATCTGGGCCAAGTTCTGGTGCTAAGATCACAAAGCAAATCTTAGAAATACTAGCTATTTGGGACATTCTCTGAAAATGCTTGGACAGAGCTCTCCAACCCAGCACCATAGCTTGACGGGTATCTGCCCTCAGTAGCATGATGTTTGTGGGATCCCTGAGTTCTCTGGCAGAGCACCCTCAGGTAGCCAGATTCCTGGGAGCAGTCTGATTAACCGAGTTGGCAGTCAGGCCACTCAACTGGTTGTATTGAGAGCCCTGACAAGCCATCCCATTGAATCGCTGACATCAGTGTCAGCATTCTATTTGTCCATCAAAACTGGCTTTCTGATACCCGTTATGTCTGCCAGGGGAGTGTTGGAGCTGGCAGTCTTTTCTGTGCAGGAACCTTACTGTTTGTTCCACAAGGACCAGGTGGTGCTTAGGACTCTGGAATTGTTTAGTCCTGAAGGTGAATTCTTCCTTCCATGCTTCCCAGCAGGAGGTTCTCCTATTATTCTGTCCAAGGCCACAACATCTTACTGAGAAGGAGTGGCACACCTTAGATCAGCAGTGGGCAACCTGCGGCCCATCAGGGTAATATGCTGGCGGGCCGGGAGACAGTTGGTTTACATTGACCATGCACAGGCATGGCCGCCCGCAGCTCCCAGTGGCCGCAATTCACCGTTCCTGGCCAATGGGAGCTGCAGGAAGCGGCGGCCCTCCACCCAGGGCCCTTCAGAGTGGCAGGCGGCATGTGGCCTCCCCCTTCTCCCCCCTCCCCCCCCGAGCACTGGGCAGCCCCAGCTACTCCAAGTCCCAGCCACCCTAGCCCCAGCCAGCTTCCCTTCCTGGAAGAGGAGCAGCCTACTTGGGCTGGGGTCAACTAGCAGCGAGAAGGGAGGGGGCCATGCAGGGCTGTGTGGGAGGGGGCCATGCAGGGCTGTGTGGGCAGGCTCAGTCTTCCCCTGCCTATTGGACGCTCCGCCCATGTTTTTAAGGAGTAATCAACAGTGGAACCATTGTTTCTCTAAAATTAATATTAAACAGTTACTGTGGATTAAATGTCTGAAAACAAGAACAATGCATAGTTGAATTGTACTTCTGATGTTTTTAATATTGATTTCAGCTACATCAGACTCTGGAAGTTTTGCACTATCACGTTCTCGCCGTGAGAAAAAATCTAAAAAAGGACACCAAGAAGCTCTAGAACTCTTGAAAAAGGCCAAGGCGGGTGAAAAAGTAAAATATGAGGTAAATAGTTAAATCTTTTCTCTTGCTTGAACTTTCCGTATAAAAACCTAAATTGAGTTTGGGAATATTGATCTTTGTCCTAACCTGTATAAAGCTGATCACTTGCTTCTGGAAATTATGGGGAACGTTAAGAAAACAGTATTAATCAAGACAAACTGGCCTGAAAGGTGTTTTATTAGTAAAATTTTTCGTGAGACAGTAGTTATTTCTGTATTTGCCACTTCTCTGTCCCTTGCCATTGGAAATTAAAGAAATTGGTGAGCAACATTTAATTTTCAGTCATTAAAATGGCTTATTGTTTAAGCATGAAGTTTGATCTGCCTTGACAATTATTCTGTAGTGAAAGACTTGCCTTCAGGACTTCAGCACATATTAATTAAATAGTGGACTAGGAAACAACTTAACTTATGACTTTCAAAGGATTATCTGATCCACTATGGTAATGTTAAGGCACTGCATCTTGGAAGGAAAGGAAAAGTCAATTTATATAGAAGTATTGAACTACTACAAACTGCAGTAAAATGACGTAGTAACTAATGAGATATGCAACATCAGATGGCCTTTTTTCACCCACTTGGATGTAGACAGAGGTCAGGAATAATCAGACCACTCAAGATGTATGTTCAGCTTAACATTCCCTTGTTTCTCAGGCCAGGTCTACGCTACACACTCACTTCAATATAACACTGTCGCTCAGGGGTGTGAAAAATCCACAACTCTGAGTGACATAGTTATATCGATCTTAGTGCTCTCTACACAGGGAGGGGATTATGTCGTTGGCTGGAGAGCTTCTCCCACTGACATAGCTACAGCCTCTTGCAGAGGTGGAGTTAAGCCAATGGGAGACCAGACGAGCTACAGCGATGTAGCTGCGCTGATGCAAGTTGGTAGTGTAGACCCCGTCTCACTCATAACTTTTTGTTAAATTGAAGTGTTTGCAAAGTTTACATTGCAGTTGATATACCTTGTGAAGCATCCTGGAGGTACCCATGGTTGTGAGGCACCTCACTATCAATTCCTTTAGCTGAGGAAGCCTTGTATGTTCCTGCTGTTGGTCAGTTCCCCAGCTCCACGAGCCTTAGGCAACACGAGCACTGCCCTCCAGGCCTTTGCCAGTCCAGCTGTTTCTTAACAGGTTAAGGGTAGGCACACTCTAACCCCCAAGTCTCCCACTGCACCACCTAGCCCCTGATCTGTGGGACACTCTCAGAATTCCCAGATCTTATATTCCCAAAGAAACAGTATACATAGCACTTAGATATGTGTATGGTAAAAACAGGAAGAAGGGTTACATATAAAGTAAAGTCATAAATGCATTCTAGAATCTAGACTTATTTCACTGGATACCCCTTTGACTAATAAAGCTTAGCTCCCAGAGTCTTTCCAGCGCTCGTCAGCCAACCCTGGCCGTGATCTGTTTTTTGTTACACAAAGTAAGCTGATGTGTTTGCTTTCTAGGTGAAGGATGCAGAGTGAGTCATAGTCCAGAAATTTGTTGTTTTCACATGTAAACAGGACTCCCTCCTGCTGATTTATTTTTTCTTGTAAATTTCCTCTCTGTAAAATCTTCAAATTTCTTCATTAGCATTCAGCTCAGACTATAAATGGGCATCCATTGTGATCCATACAGTGTTCAATTACATATAGCCAGGCATGTAAACATCTCTTGCCCGAAAGAAACTTTTTAATTCCCTTCTGGTGACCCCACCCAATTCATAGCCCCTAACAATAATTTTCACTATATTTACACCTACCTCCTTACATATTTTCTGTACATACATTTCACGATGATGAACAGTGTGACACAGATCTCCACTGAAAACCTTACATGACACCCTTTGGCAAACTAGAATGAAGATACTAGACCCTGGGGATCCCAGTAACCCTTAGGCACTCCTGTTCCCTCTGCCAGTTGGCACCAAGATGTCCCTTAGTAAAAGAACTAAAAAAGAGCCACCGTGGCTTAACAACCATGTAAAAGAAGCAG